CCCCCCCCCCCTTACGAAAGGACAGGAAAGGCGATGTCCCCCATGCCTCCCTTTCCAGCATCCCTGTCAAAGTGCATAAATTATTTAATACTTAATGCTTACTTGAAAACAGAGATGCTGAAGCAGTGGCGTAACGTTATATCAGGGGGCCCCCGGTTCAAAATTTTCGAAGGCCCCCTAGTAGAAGTGCCAAAGGCACGATTCGAGCGCTGTATATGGACGAGTTTTCTAGGGGGTCCAGGGGATGCTCATCCGGAAAATGTTTGAATCTAGACTCTCTGAAATGCCATTTCCTGGAATTTGGTGAGAGATTTTACAGAATTCTGATGGTCAGAAAACGACATTGTAACATATCAAAGGCCCTGGCCAGTGTTTTTGCTCTATCGCCTAAGCTGGAGGCCCCCATTTGGCCCATTGGGGTTGGGCCCCCGGGTTCTCCCGGTCTGAGCCCATTGTAGTTACGCTACTGTGCTGAAGGTTCAGTATTTTTTGACTTCTTGCTGTTTAGGAATGGAGGGCTAACTAAGAAAGAAGGACAACAGCTTTAAGATTCATAAAACTTTCTTTGCAACACAGTTACATGCTATTAAAGTAATTATGCTTATGTAGATTTTGTCTTCTTGGCATTTGCTTGATATGCAGGGCTTAAAAAGAAGACAAGTAATGCATAGACGTTTTCTTTTGGGAATTAAAAGACAATAAAACAGTAGTCATGTTGGTACCCAATTCAATAAAAGATTTAATGCGATTCTTTTGTTAAAATGCCACCATGCCATAACAATGGACCTGCAGTGCAACTCCGCCTCTTTATTATGACTATTTATTTTTGTCCCCCAAAAATGCCAAGACGACACCACAGATTAAGTAAGAACAGATGTGTAACTTCAGCAAAAAGTTGTCCCATGGTCACCATCTTCCTAGCAAGTGTCGTTCGTGTGATAATTTATCATTTGGTAATACCAAATGTTACGCCGCCATCTTTCTAGCAAGTGTTATGATGTGTGCTGTCAGCTTAGAAAAATTTGAGGACACAAAGTCCTATGGAGTTACACACTGGTATATACTTAATTTCTATGGAGTTACACACTGGTATATACTTAATTAACATATGATATCAAACATAGACCCACTGTATTACTGCGGCAAAAATAAATAGCTAACCTTGCTTAGCGTAGTATAAACTACAGTTGATGAGTTGCATCCGCTTTTGTGCCATAAAAATGAAATTTCCTGCGAGAAGAAACACATTTGATTGCTATCACATTATAAAAAATTATAACCACGTTGTTTGGTTGCTTGTCTGGCATATATTTTCACACATTAAAACAGCGCTATCTCAAAGAATAATCATTTTTAACCTAATATAAACCTTAAATAACTTACTTCTTTTGACCGGAACTTTTCTTGTTAAGAGAAACTAATATAACTTAAAACCTTTCCTCCATAATTCAGAAATTAAATATTAAAATTTCACATTTCCCGCCATGTGGGAGACGAGCAAACTCCACTACCTCTGCTCCAGCAATAGAGATCAGTGTAAAAAACATCCTCGTCCCAGGCCTAACATCAATTGCAAAAGCGTTCGTTTGATCTTTACTAAAAAGATCTTAAAATAACTAGGAAGCAATCGCATATTTATATCTCATGTATGTTTTTTTTCTGTCTATCAGATTTTATAAAATCGTTCCTCAAAATCGTTTCTCACTGATTTAAAATTACTTTAGGGACTGATTCCCCAACCCCACCTCCTCCCCCACCCTCCCTCACCCCCCTCTAGATGTCTTGTGCCTAACTTTCTATCCCGCTCGAGACGCCAAGAAATACATGTTTTGGCTGTCGTGAAATTCCAAAGCGAAATTTGACAACGGTTTTACCAGTTCCGGACTTTTGGCCGAAGCGGCATGCCAAAGGATCGGCGCAAGCTGAGGAACACGATTGCACCATAATACCATATCTGTGACCAAATCACACAATAGGTGATGTGCAACCAATCCCATGGAATTTAAAGGACAAATAGATTTTCGCCATGTTGGATGATATGTGCATTACTGAGCAAGATTCTTTGTCAATGTCATCAACATGGCGACGGTGACGTAACTTGTACACCTCCTATAGACCAACAATTATAACTGATTGCACCAATGCACCATACAATACAAACAGACTGCAGTAATGCACAATATGCAATGGATTGCACCACTGGATTGAATCAGTCGAATGCTAATTTATAAACTTCAGTAAAATGTTCGTGAAAGATAATAAGATTTTATAAAATGAGCTGAACTTCCTGTCTTCAATTTTACGATCCCATATCAGGTTTTACAGTCGAAAGTGCCAATGTCAAAAAACTGGAAGAAGCTCCAGACTACCACCATATATGGTAATGATAACGTAGCCCTTCACGATTCGATCCCCAATGTCGTTAACATGCTGTGCATATTTCTTTCGCTCATGATCACTAACTGCAGTGGCGCCATAAAGGTCATTCAGCGTCCTCAAACGTGTTAAAAACTATCTGCGTTGAACAATGGGAAGTGAACAAATGTTAAACCTCTTCCTTCTCAGTATTGAACATGAAGTCCTCGACTCGCTGCCAATGGTTGCAGATTCATGTCTCGCTGTTTATGAATGCTGAGCCCTATTCTTGCCCTGACTCTAACCTTAACCCTGACAGCCTGACTCTAACCCTAAGTCATTCACAGCGAGACATGAATCTATATCCCCGGCCAATTGCCAAAATAATTTCTGACTTTGTATCATTGAAGGCTCGGAAAAAGTTATTTTAAAGTTCTTCTCTGCATAATCTGACTGTGTAATGTCACTAATGTCACGAATTCAACGAATCAGAATTGTTCAATTTGACATTTTTGACTTTGATATTGTTGCTCAAGATCTACAAGACTGAGTTTTACCGAATTTTCCCGAAATGTTTGCAGAACATAGTATAAATACAAAGTTCAAACAACTATGTCAGAATCTATATTGTCTATATTATCTATACCTAGTGATGTTCTACTTCTATGACAGTACGAGGGAATAGATTGGTAACATGACTGAAACATTTTCTAAGCGGATGAACTGCAAGTATGAGTTTTATATGTCCGACTAAAAGAAATCGGACTTTTTCACATGCAGTCACGGGCGAATTCGCATTTTGTGACAGGCCTTTAAAATAGTTTTCCCCGCGGCCCTGGAAAGGCTAATCCGGCACTGTGATCAGAATAAGCAATACGTATTGGTTTGTGAATTGTTGGATTCACATAAATACAATTAATGATTCATCTTTGGAACGTGACTTGATATGCATCCCATGATTTTTGAAAACTGAAATTATATGATATTTTATAATACGGAAATAAGGAATAATGAATAACAGGTTCCGATTTTGTGACGATTTTATGATGTAATGAAATAATAATAATATATAATGATTGGTGATTACCTAATGTTTTATTTTTGGCTACATTATTATATTTGGCTGATGGATCTACACAAGATTCGTATTTTCTCAGGATAGCTACTACAAGATTCGTATTTTCTCAGAATAGCTATGGTACTACAAGATTCGCATTTTCTCAGAATAGCTATAGTACTACAAGATTCGCATTTTCTCAGAATTGTTATAGTACTACAAGATTCGTATTTTGTCAGAATAGCTATAGTACTACAAGATTCGCATTTTCTCAGAACAACTATAGAAATAGATATTAAAAATTTTCATTTTTTTGTTGCGTCAACGGATATGGCAGGATCGTCCCTCTTTGTTACGTCAGCGGTTGCCAGCGTAACCAAGCTGGCCGCGACCAAAATAACATGTGATTGGCTGAGGAAGCGACACGTATGATGACTTGGTCAGCTGGGAGTCGGAATACAAGAACACTCCCGAAATTTGGAATATTCATTATTTCATTATTCGAAGCTTTCGAAGCAAGGCTCCGTTGAGGTGTACGTTAGTTCTTGGTAAGCTGCAGTAACTAACTTTCAGACAAAAGGGAAATATGACAACCTATTGCAAGTACACGGTAAGTCTGAAAAAATATACAGCAACGGGCTGTTATATTCACTTTCATGCACATACAGTAAATTAATACAGTCATTGGGAACGAACTAACGAAACCACATAGTTCTAGTGTGCAGAAGTGAATCCTCGTTTTGGTTTTAGTTTCTTATTTACCAGTTTAGTAGTAAAGAATCAAATAGTAAACTCGACTTAAATCAATCTTTTAGCTTTCACTTGCGCCAATGTCGTAATGATAAAAACTTGGTGCTACAGCAGCTTCCGCACGAGTGTCTCGTTTTATAAACCGAAATTTACATTCATTTTACCGAAATAAACCTCGTGTTATTTTAATCTTAGAATCATTATTAACAACAGTATTTGATGCTTACTTTTCTTGTTATCCATTGGCTACACGTTTTAAAGGTTATTAAACGTTTAAGCTTGTGCTTGTTACTACTTGTTGTAAAGAATCTTACAAAGACGGACGGACGAAGAGCTATCAAATCTGGCATAGCGAAATATACCATCGACACAGCTTTACTATATATATATATATATATATATATATCGTACTCATTCTAATCACAGATCGAAATAAACTCTATTCTGAAAGAAAGAAAACCATGCAATTTATTTTCTTATACTCTGAGACTGAGAGTCTGAGTTATAGCATAGAACTGAAAGTAATTTATTCATGGAGTTTGAAAGACGAGACTTTGACAAAGCGCAATATCGAAACGACACTGTGAAGCCAAAGGCCAGCTCAAAGAAACAGTTCTCATCTGGAATAATTTGTTATTTTACATAGTCCGACCATACCGACATATAGACAACGTCTTCTTGTGTTTACGCCGAGTTTATTCGATTCCAGCAGATTCCAGCAAGTTTGGCTTACGCGGCATTCGTGATTCGCTGTTTCATTTTCAGTCTACTGTTTAATATGACAAAGCATGCCCGCATGTAGCTAGTACGTATGGCGACTGAAATTATGGTCTGGAAGGAACTCTAAAGACTAAAGTGAAATAATGCTAGCTCAAATCAACACCCCCATCGTAGTACAACCACAAAAGATTTGTACTTTTGACTAAAACGATGCACATCAAGAGAAGAATCCGTGATCTTGGTCAGTTGAAATTTAATCCGCATGTATTATGTTGCCCCGCCATTGCAAACCACTCGTCCGTGTGACCGTGTCGAGTATTCAAGATAAATATAAAGATTATAAGTCCTCGACATCGCTATCGGAAAATGTCTTGTTTAAAATTCTACACTCGACTGTGGTCTATTTCTTTGAATAGGAATGGGAAAAGGAATGGGAATGATGAGGACTGAAGACCGAAGAAGTGAAGAATACTTATATATATTTAATTAAGCCGTTATTTTACTGTAAGATTAAGTGGTCTAAGTTTGATTCTAAAGAATAAAATTATAAAAGGTTTCTATATATGCATGCTTTTTGTCTTCATGATTTAGTATATTTCATACTGATCCTGTTGAAGTTATTCCTATAAGTGCGAAAGGAAACAGATGTAGTCGAAAAAATTAGGGAATATATGATAAGTGAGACGTAGTCATCAATTGTCTATGACTTACTGTTAGTTATTCAGGTGTATAACTGATTCCACTAATATATCGTTTACAGTTCAGCGATGTACAGTTTTGCACAAAATTATAGACTACGAAGGTATAAACATCTCGCTGTTTATCGTCATATGTCGTCACTCATCAGTCATGCATGCATTAAAAATCACGAGACTGCAGAGAGCGTTGTTTGTGTAAAGGCTAAAGTGTAATATGTTCAGACTTAACTTTGCAAGTTGTACACGTTTTGGTGGTCCTATGTTATTCAACAATCATCTTAAAAGAAAATGTGGGCCTTAATAGTGAAAGACATGATTCGAATATATGCAACTCAGCAGGACTCTGAAAGATGGAATGCGCCATATCATGAACAAGGTCATTTTTGTTTGGTTTAATCCTGTGTGTTGGTTGGCAACTGCATATAGTTTGTGGTATTGTGTATTAAACTTTAATCACTCTATTTTAATTTAAATCATAAACAAAATTTTGTTCGTATGTTTTGAAATGCAACCGCTCAACTTGGTTTTGCCTGTTGCATTTCAATATTTTAACGACGTAATGAAGTGTTCCTGCTTTTACCAATATTTTACCCTGTTAGTCATGTTTTAGAGGTGTGAAGACAAGTGAAAAGATGGATTAGCCAGTCGCCAAATGCAACAAACAGGTGAGTCAAAAACGAAGTGAATATGGTCAGTTTTGGTGAGGGAGGACGGATACATTGTTCCATGGCAAAACTGATAAATAATATAGCTTTACAAAGATTTTCGTTTGGAGCTGTAATATTAATTTCAAGAATTCATTCTCATGAAAATTTCCTGCTCATTTGTACTATTCACTATGGTAATTTTTCACTTTTCATTAAATTATCATTGTGCATTTTCTATTTAATATTGTTCAAGAAGCTTGTGTGTAACTGCAGTTATTTATATTTACATGTTCTGTTCTATTTCTTCTTTACAGCCACGTTCAAGACGACTATATCTGCTATTGGAAAAAAGTTTGCAGCCTTGAAGGAATTCTTAGACTTAGTGCTGTGAAGCAAAATTGTTTGCCGTAAACATTCAGTAAAGGATTATGTCATGAAAATGTTGCATCCAAAACAATTCTAATCTAGAAGGACGAACAGATTATGTGAGCAAGAGAACATGCACGATTTTTGCTGATTTATCTTTTACACCACTGGACTAGAAATATGTTAATGCAGAACTGTTGCGGTCTGTGCCTATTGGCTATGGAGATTAGGAACCAGGCATATCCAGCACGTAATTCGTCTGAGGATTTCATGATACTGATCCAGGAGGCTGATTTCAGGACATTAAAGCCTTTGGCAGTTTTGTACGTGATACAACACCAGCGACTTCTTTTATAATTGTTTCGCGATAATTTCCGGCATAACAGCTTTCCATCTAAATCGCTTTTGTAAAATTTCTGCGTAACATTCATTTTCACGTCTTTACTTGCGTCACGTTTCACCTTCATGTTTAACCTTTACTCTTTAATAGTCAGTTTTTGACTCCTGACTCCGAATGCATGACTTGCCATGCATGTTAGAACGTAACGAGATCTGTGATTTATATTTTACTTTAGGACTCTTCTTTTGCATCAAGTGGTGGAGTTGGTGGATATTTATTACGAAAACGAAAGCATACCGACTGTGATTATGGAGAGCAAAACAATCTGAATCAAAAACCAAAGCCAAAAGTATAAATGATTATTTATTGTTGAAATTCTACTATATTGTACCGATTGTATGTTGTCATTTTTAAAATGGAAACGAAATGCACTTTATTATTCTTTAAATCCTATGCTGTATATATGGTTTATTACATTATTCCTGAATTGTACATCTTTTTTAATTTAGGTTATTTAATTAGTTCTCATATATAATTATATCTGAGACTGAGTTGCAATCAGTAATATACATTTTTTTCTTTATAGGATGTAGTTTCAGGCCGTGATAAATTAGGATCTTCGGCCGAAGAGTCTGAGGTAAATAATACACGTATTATACAACACACAAAAATAGGCATACATGCACATGAAATCATGAATATGGTTCAATGCATCTCATGGCTAAATAATATTAAACGAAGCTTTATATGTAGCCTATAGGAGGCAAGTTTTGTACATGCCTTGTTTGACAAAGGGCTGTACGTATCTTGAGCGTATTAGTTATGTTTTGTATTATTATATAGGAGGACAGCGACTACGGTTATGACGTCGAAGACAATTATTGCTCTCTAGAACAACTCGACGAAGATTTAGATGAACAGATGAATTCAGAGGAATTCATCAATGCACTGAACGCTCTGAAAGGCAAAATGGAAAAAGATGCCCAAAAAAACTAATAAAATTAACAACATTAATAATACACATGAAAAAATTACTCAGTTCTGTTTGGCTAAAGGAGTAAAGGCAGTGCAATTTTATCGACATATATGCACTGTACCAAAAAATAAATTATACGTTGCAAAAACAAAAGATATGTTGAATAAAGTTAAATTTCGCAAACACTTGTTTTATGCATGCAGGAGACCATGAATTTGCTTCTGTGTAATTTTTCATGTATATTATTAATATGTGTAATGGCATGGTTTCTGGAGCAACTTGGAAAAACAAACGCTCTAGCTGACTCTTTCAAATAGTTCAAATGCACTCGAGTTTCGGACTCGTGCTACTTTGATCGTCTTTGAAATATTCATTTCGTGCATGTTTTTTCCAGTTTCAGTCAAAACCATACTATTTCAATACATATACAAAGCTCCGTTGCTTATGCATCATCGACAAAGCCCAGTGGCAGTGCTCTACGTTCTTTGGTAGTTATAACGGATCAGATCGGAAATTCTTTCATGAAGATAAAACGTAGCAGGATTCTCAAACTGAAGAGATGAGGCAGGTTTTAACTTGGCCAGTACGTTTTCTTTGTCCAGCATCGAACACGCCTTCTAATACTAATAGAGGTCCGACCACGCGTACATTCGTACCTTAATTAATTGTAGGAAATTGAAACGTAAACCGCTGTGTATATTTGTATAAATTGTAAAGCCCAGATCAAACGAAGATGAGAGTTGACAGTCACGCGACCATTAACTGTTCTTAATGCTTTTCCAACACTATCATGTATTCTATTGAAGTTGAAACATAGTTGGAAAACTTATCAAACCTTTCTTTTGTTAATCTAGAGCTTGAAATACCCCCTGTAACAATTAGTGACTGCCAAAGGCTCAGCCTCATTTGACCGGGGCTAAAAGAAAGCTAAATTTATTTATTTTTAAAACAATGTATATATAAGTACAAGAAAGACGAGTGTGTGTTTGTTTGAACATTACTACTGTAATGACCTTAAATTTAGAGTGCTTCTGGAGACAGTTTGGACATTTGGGCGTGGCCCAACCTCGTCCCCAGGCTCTTTCCTCTACGCTGCGATTCCCGCGTGCAGCGCTTTAACCAACTGAGCTACAGAGTCCAGTTGTACAGAGTTGTCAGTAGCTCAGTTGGTGTCCTGGTTAGGTCTAATAAATGTGTAAAAATTCCACTCGAAATTACATCCACAAAACCCTTTATTGCTTTTAAAGTAAAGTGTAACTCATAACCAGGAGCTTCCAAAGTTGGAATTTCCGAACCTATACACACACTCTGGTCCTAGCCAATTAGTTGGGAGGAATATTGTCCATTGTGACTATATATATATGTGGATGATGATTATATATATATATATATATATATATATATATATATATATATCTATATATATATATATATATATATAACTATATATATATATAACTATATATATATAACTATATATATATAACTATATATATATAACTATATATATATAACTATATATATATAACTA